CCAGACAACTTATTTGAGAAGAAACTTTATTTGTGCAATTCAAGAATCAATACCAACATCGAAGAAATATCATATTAAGTTTATGGTTTTTTTGCATCCGTCAAAGTATTATAAAATATATATTTTATCCGTGATTTTTGTATCAGTTAAAGTATTATAAAATATTTATTTTTTATATACATTTTTTCCACTTTTCTGTATTAAGTTTATGGTTTTTATTTAAGGAAAATACATATACATTATACTGAAATTCTATAAAAATTATATGTTATAAAACTTAATATTTTTATGGAATTTTTATATCAAATATTTTATTGGGTAATTTAAGTTAATAGTAAACTAAACTAAGTTAATTTATACTAAGCTTTAATATTAACTCAAGAAAATTATTAAGTTTGGCCATTTTGGTAATCAATCTAAGAACTCAATTCAGATGTTCTAACTTTGTTTTAATAAAATCTATTAATTCTAAATAAGAAATTGGTTATATCTTTTACTATTAATAAAAAATTTATGCATTTTCTTATAATAAATAAAAACTAAATATTTATGTTATTTAAAAGATTTGCTAAAGTAATAGTAAAAAGTAATTAAAGAACATAAAAAGAGAGCCTAATATCTGCTCTTATTGCATCTTATCTCAAAAAGACAATTAAAAATTTTGCTATTTTTATAAGAAATTAAAAAGAACTTTTATTTATTAATTTATATTATATTATTTTTATAAAATAAATTAAATCAATAATTAATGTTAAAATTCATTAAATGTTACAAAAAAATAGTAATTATTAAATTTAGATTTATTAAATATGTAAAATCCTTTCTTATATATATATTTAAACATTATAAATAATAAGAAGTATTAATTTTTCAATATTAAGCCAAAATGAAGTATTTCTGTTAGGATTTTTATTTGAAAATAAAAATAAAAATATTTATTTATAAATAAATAAAAATTAAATATTCAAAATTATATAATTAGTATTTGAATATTTAAAAATTATCAATTATTGAAAATTAATAACTAAAATTGAAAAAAAATTAAGATAAAAGAATACATATCAATTGAAACATATTTTTTTAAAAAACTTTCAAATATTTAAAATAATATTTGAATTTCAAATAGAAATCATATCATAAATAAATTACAATTAAGGTAAATGTGATATTATTAGGTTCTAATAAATAATTATATATTTTATATCAAATATTTGTTATTAAATTTTCAATTAAAATTTAAGAAATCTAAAGTATTATTTTAGCTAGTGGTTAATATAGAATCTGTTAATATTAATTGTTAATTATTTATTTTAACTATTATAATTATTTTTCCTTTATATTTATATATAAATTTTGATTATATTAATTTTTATAATTAAAAATTTCTTTATTTTTTATTAAAATTATATATTTATTTATATTAATTTAAATTAAATTAAAAAATAAATAAATATATATATATTTTAAATTATTTTTAACTAAAATACAATATTTAATTTAATTAAATTTATAAGTAAAATTTAGTTAAATAAATGAAAAAAATTTAATTTAATATATATATATATATTTTTTTAAAAAATAAATAAATAAATAATTATTTTTAATATTCTTAATTTTAATATAATAATATAATAAATTTATTGTTGCAAATGTAATATTATTACCTTCTTTTTGTTATCTGAATCATATTTTTTCCCTTTTTTATTTTTCATATATATTTTAAAAATTTAAAAATTTTTTCATATGTGAAATCCTATTTGTTATATATGTTAGTATCATATAGTTTAGGGTTAGGGTTAAGGTTAGGATAAGATATATATAAAAAAGTAATATATAAGAAGTATCACACTAAAATAAATAAATTTACTCATAATAATATATTATAAATTATAAAAAATATATAATTTTTAATTTTTTAAATTATATATATAAATTTATTTTATTATTATAAAATATAAAATATTAATTAAATATACTTCAATGTGAATTAATAATTACTAATTAAATTATATTTTAACAGACATAATTATATTATTAATAATTTATCCCTTAAATTGTAGAGGTTGGCAAGTAAATTTATCTGCTTATTTACTATAAATTTTCTTCTAATTTACTTTTATAAAAAATTAAAATTTTTAAATTTTTTTTTTAAAAATTACTTTTATAAATATATATAATATTATATAGTAAATTTTATTTTTTAATTATATAATATTTATAATTTTTAAAAAAATTATAAATTAAAAAATTTTATTATTGACTTTTGATCATCTTATTACATTTATTTTTATTAATATTAATTATAATAAAATATTATAAAATTTATCATGAAGAATAACTTTAATTATTATAATTTTTATAATTTATTAAGAAATTTTATGATTTTTATTAATAGTAAAATGATTTTAATCAGTTCGCAAACATATGAATTTTCTTTTAATAAAGTTGATAAAATATATATTAAACTATATTTTTTATATAATAATTATATTATTATTATTAATATTTTATTTTTTATTAAAAAATTGATCTTTATTTTTATGTTTATAGGCAAATTTGCATGCTTTACAATTTAAGAGATAATAAATATTAAATTATATATAATTAATTTTGATATTATCAAAATTAATTAACGTTAAAGTATATAATTAAATATTAATAAATTATATTTAATTTAATTAAAAAATAATTTTTATTATAATATTTATAATTAAATATTAAATTAATAATATAAATTTAAACTTTTTTTTATATAATCTAATTTGTTTGATTTTAAAATTTTATTTAATTTAATTGAATATTATAAAACCATTAAAGAAATTATTATTTTACTAATACTTATAATGCTTTTAAAAATTAATGATCTTTTTTTAATTGTTAAAGTAAATCTGAAAATACCTAATATTATAATTTGAAAAATACTATATATAAATAAGTAGTAAATATTAATATACAAAATTTTTTTTAAATCAAAAAAAAAAAAAATTCCCAACACATTTTTACACATTTTAAATTTTTTTTTTTTTTTTTTTTTTTTTAAGGAAAAAAAGGATCAAATTTACCTAAATAAGTATAATTAAGAAAATTTACACCTAATATTTTATTAATAAAAAAATGTATACATACCAACACAAACTTAACCCAAAATAATATTTATAAATCTTTTTTTAAAAAAACAAACGTAATATTTATTCTTCATTGTTTATATCTTCGGTTGAATTATACTCAAATGCTCTACTAAATCCAACATATTTACCCAAATCATATTCCATAAAACGAAACATATACAATTCCACAGGCAAAAGATGCGACTTAAGGCTATCATCAACTTCAAAATTTTCATTCATTGGTGAAGGTGCTGTAGAAATAGTACTTTCCCTTCTCACTATTGCAGCGCCAGAATTTTCCACTACACCCGAACTTTCTGTTGGAGTTATCGCATTTTCATCAAATTCTATTAAATCCGATTCCATTTCTTTTTTCGCTATTTGTGCAGCGTTTACATCTGTATCATCTTCAACTTTTGCTAGACATTGTTCTAATTCAATTCCTGATTCTGGTTCATCATTAATTTCCTTGTCATGGTCAGGTGCGATTACTTTAACTATATCACGCCAATCAACTTTAGGTTGTGACCAAAAATCGGTCGTAAAACCACCATCAGTGATAACCATCTTATCGAGCATTTCTTTCTGTTGTGCTTTTGCGAGCATATTTTCTTCTATTGTTGCTTCGCATACAAAACGAAATATGTTTACTTCACGTGTTTGACCAATACGATGACATCTAAACAAAAATGAAAACATGATCAATGAATTTTGAACTTGATAATTTTTTTTTTTTTTAAAAAATTTAATTTACCTATCTTGACACTGTCGGTCCATACAAGGATTCCAATCAATATCATAAAATATAACAGTATCAGCACCTGTAAGATTTATACCTAAGCCACCAGATCTCGTTGAGAGTATGAATACCAAAATTCTTGGATCATTGTTAAATCGTTCTGTTAATAACTGACGTTGCTCTATTTTAGTAGCACCATCCAAACGGAGATAACGATGTCCATGAATGTTCAGAAAGATTTCCAGTATATCAAGTACGCGAGTCATTTGTGTGAAAATTAATGCGCGATGACCTTTTTCCTTAAGGTTGCGAAGTAATCTATCTAATTCTTGTAATTTACCACAGTCGTACTGCAAGAGCCTTTTATCAGGAAAAGCAATCATAAGTTTAACCCGTATTGGATAATATAAATCCCGCACTTGATTATGAACGATATATCGAAATTCCTCAGGTAATTCAGCTAATGCATATGAACATACATCGGATGCAACAACTGCTGGAGTCACAAAAGCATATCTCTTTATAACTTCTTCCATCATATCATATCTTCGCTCATAAGATACGACCATATCAGGTAATGTAGTAGTACATTCTAAATTTTTTCTAGGATTCTTAGAATCCATTAAAAATTTTTCAAATGATGTCGTACCCAATTGTCTACATATATTAATTAAACCTGTTCCGTATATAGGACGTCGTTTAAGACGAAACGAATTGATATATCTCATATGATTCCAACGCTCTAGGGTCGCTATATGAACGTGATTTTGCATAACGTTACCAAACTTAGTAAGGCTATAATATGATATTTCTTCGATGTTGGTATTGATTCTTGAATTGCACAAATAAAGTTTCTTCTCAAATAAGTTGTCTGGATCTAACACACTATACTCCGAAGTAGCCAACCAATCCATATTCTCATAGTCAATAGTAATAAGATTAAATAAATCCAAATTTATCCGCTCCAAATGATAGTTTCCTCGATTAAGACGATTACGTAAAGTTAATTCACAATATTCATAATCTCTAATAGCAGAACGGCTCATTGCAAATGAGGTTACGATAGGACGGACTTCAAATAAATCCGGATGATTGCAGACCTTTCGTAGTTGCATTAGGCAATTGATAATACTTAAAAAATTGCCTGATCGAAGAGTTTCTTTAGTTTTAGAACGAGACATAAAGTCGTCATATAAAAACCTTTGTCGCTTCGATAAGCGACACTTAATAATATGAGTATGCTTGGCAGGTAGTTGTTTTTCTACATCAATTTTTAAACGCCGTAGAAGATAAGGTCGCAATAATGTATGTAAGGTAAGAATAGCCGCACGAGTTTTTTCATCAAATCCTTCATTGTTTTCAATCATTTTATCAACAGGACGTGAAAACCAATC